TATATATCTCTTCGTTTCATTTTTTTTATTTTATACGTAAATATATATGTGTTGTTTAAAAATACATGTACATATACGTAAATAGCTACTTAACTTAAAATTGGATTAAAATTTAGAAATACATTCAAGCTATATCTTATACTTTTATATACTCACTTGTATTTCCAACTTTTCACTTTTGTCACCAATGTCGGACAATCAAGAATTCAGCATAATTCACCATTTGGTAAATATTTGATTCTCATTGTGTCATGTCATCATCTTAAGATTTTGCACTAGTGTTACCAATGTGGGACAATAAAAAATTCAACATTTGATAAATACTTCAATGTGCATGTCATCATCTTAAAATTTTCCTCTCTCTCTCTCTCTCTCTATCTATATATATATATATATATATATATATATATATTGATAATTGATATATTGATACCAGCTTTTCACTTTTATTATCAATGTGAGACAATCAATAATTCACCACAATTTATCATTTGATAAATACTTGATTCTCATTATATCATGTCATCAAGCTTGGTTCTTCCTTTATCGTCTTTCATTAAACTTGGGGTTCAACTTTGATTTATATATTACAAGCTATATTTTATCATTTATTTAATCACTTGTACTTCCAACTTTTCACTTTTGTTTCGAGTGTGTGACAGTCAAGAATTTACCACAATTCATCATTTGATAAATACTTGATTCTTATTTTGTCACGTCATCACACTTGGTTCTTCCATATATATAAGTTTTTAGTCCTGTGATTTTTTAAAAAGTTTTGTTTTTGTTTTTTTGATTTTGAAATTACAATTTTTATCCTCATAATTTATATATCATTTTCATTTCCGTCCTCATGATTAAAATTTTATTCATTTTTTTGCCCATGTGGTTTACAATTGATTTTTATTTTAGTCACTCATACTTAAAAATACGTAATGTTCAACCTTAGAGACGAAAATAGAAATGAATTGCAAACCATAATAACACAAAACCGTAATTTCAAAATCATAAAGATAAAATCCGAAATTTATAACAAACCACAAGATTAAAAACGTAATTTACGTTGTCAAATCTATTGAGTTCTTAGTTTTGATGGGAAACTAACATTCAAAAACTTATCATCCAAAACGATGCTTAACAAGATGGAACATAATTTTTGCTTATATTAGAATTATTATTATTACCTAATAATGAAGACAAAAAGTGGCCACCATCTTCATGATTTGGTATTTGTTTTTATGTTAAAAGGTGGTCTTAAAATACCTTTGTTTTTTATATTGCATTTTGTTGCAATATTAATGATTTTTTTACAAGAAGATATATATATATATATATATTGAGTTTTACACATTTAGTCAAATTATTCGTTGATTTATATGAATCTGGTGCATTTAGAATGTAAAAAATAAAAATTGAAAATTACATAAAATTCATATTTTGGTGTCATTTTGATCGTATTAACGAAACTTTATACATATATATTTTATTACAAAAATATTTATTTTATTATAATTTAATGAATTACATAAATTAATCAAAACATATAAAAAATATAAACAACTCATTAGGGTAAATTGATCATTTTACCAAACTTATCCTACCAAATCTTATTTTATCAAACGATGAACAGTTATCATGTCTTTTAGTTAAGTGGAAGAGTGGAATTGACATGTGGTTGGATCGAAAAAAAAAAAAATACTTTTTGGGTTTTTATTTTATTTAAGACGTGTAATGATCGTTACCCTTCCGTTACTACAAAGCATCATTGTTCGTGGAGCTTTAATACAAAGTTTTCCTGGGGTTCCGTCCCCTTTTCCAAAAAAAAAAAAGAAAGATAAAGAGCTTTGCTCTAATGTACAGTAAAATAATCTTTTAATAGAGATGACATGCAATACATGTGTCATTTTTAATTGCTCTTTTTAACATTGTCGATTAAAATGGTACAAAGTAGTCCATTTTTCTTGAATGCAAGAAGTAAATTCGATCGTTAGACTAGAGCCATAGATCAGCAAATAGCCCATGAAAGGCCAAGACAGTTTACTAGAAACCACAAACGTAAGAAACACTAAAAGTTTACGTTGTAGAGAAGTCGAGTGCAGAGGATTAGTGATCTTGAACTTTCCTCGCAAAACGAAGGAAATTTGGCAAAAATGATTTTGAACTTTTCTAGTCGACCTTGAGATGCATTCGTGTCCTACGCTCGCACACAAGTTCAATGGTCCAACACAATTTGGTCCAGTTTTGCACCCCCCCCCCTCCCCGCGTGCACACATGGAGAGAGCCTTTACTCAATCAATTTTTCATTCATATTAATTCCGTCTTTTACATGCTATATGTCGAATCGAAGATTCTACTAAGGACTACATAAACCCATAAATATCTATCTATGCCGATCATGGGTTCAAGTATACTTTTGGGTCTAAATCGGGCATAAAACCCAGTATTTTCTAATGTTTATTGTTTTATACTAATAATAACGACTATAATGACATATATAATGATAATAACGATAATAATAATAAATCTTATTCTAATGATTATAATTATCATCGTTTTATAAATATAATATATATTTATAAAATTCAAATAAATAATAGAAAAACATGGTAATATAATTTGAATGTCTAAAAATAATATATACATATAAAAAATGTTGAAATGCATGAATGTGCAAATAAAATGGAAGGTTTTCCAAATTGAATTACCCTTAGATTTTATTGGGCCTTACTAATTGTTTTGGGCTTGGGCCTTTAATACCCCATATGTTGTCGTTGATAAAATCATGGACATTTGCTGTTGCTCTATATTTAAGATCATTCAATAGATTTTTATTAATATAGGATCACGCTAATCTGAAGGCCTACTAATGATGACGTGCTTTGATAAATCTAATGTAGCATATGTATTTTGTAACAAAATGACAATTAGGAGAATATTTAATGGATATATTATTTTAGAATTTTTTTTTTCCTCCAACAGCTATATTAGAATCTTCATAAAATGGAGACAAAAGACAAAAACGATGAACAAATATCTAAATTTAGAAGAACAGATAGAAAATAAAACATACAAGTTGGAGATGCTCTAAAATCTTACAGATATTCACATCTGTATATATTAAAGAAAAATCTTGGGATATTGAGGTGACGCCATAAGAATTGAGTATTCTCAAATGATGAATTATGGTTTAGTTTTAGTTGTACCACGTTGTTGAGAAGATAAAAGATTTGAACAAAGTGATGTGCAAAAATTAATATCCATAACCAATTCAAAGCACTTACTATTTACACTATTGATATTGGATTCTGGGAAAATCATATTTTAAAAAAAATACATCGCATTCATAGTTTCCATCGTTTTTGTTTGGCCGTCAGATGTTGAATTGAGAGACCACATACTAGCACCTTTAAAACAGATTCCACTAGACCTTGAATGCAATGAGATGCAAACTCTTCCGCTTGTTGTCATTTACTGCTTCCATGCCTTTGGTTCCGATCAACATCATTGCCAACAATAGTGTCTTCAACAACATCGGAA